AAAACCTACCCGGGGGGCCTTTTTATACATAGAAAACCTACCCGGAGGTCCTTTTTTATACAAAGAAAACCTACCCGGGGGTCCTTTTTATACATAGAAAACCTACCCGGGGGTCCTTTTTATACGTAGAAAACCTACCCGGGGTCCTTTTTATACGTAAAAAAACTACCCGGGGGTTCTTTTTTATACAAAATAAATCTTACCCGGAGTCATTTATCTACGTAGAAATCCTGCACGGGCAGCCGTGGAAAACATACCCCTAACTATTTATTCTCCCTTGGTCCTGTGAAAAAGTGACCCCCGTAGAATAGTGGCCTCTAAATTAAGAAAAGGAAACATCAATCTACATGCACAAAAATACACCGGTGGTATCGATTTCATTCCTCTAGATCATGTAATCCGCCCAGCCTTCCGGCCGTCCGTCCGTCCGTCCGCCCGGCCGACACAGTGTCTTGTTAACATTATGCAGCCGTTTTCAAATATAAGACAAATCCTCAAAAGAAATATAGCCCTATACAAATCTCGGACAGGTTCGAATGTGTACGTGACCGGTCAGTGTCACTTTTACTGATAATAGTCATTTCACCAAACAGTTTTTGTCATTCTGGAACCTGCATATCTTTTGATTTTGATTGCTTTGGACATGAATTCGAATGTTAGAATGACGGGAGTGACCGGTCAAAGGTTGATTACTGCTTTTCCTATTGTCATCACTCATCACTGGCAAAAGTTTGAATAAAACTAGAGTAGGCAAAAGGTCAAGGTCACCGACATCGATACTACAAATGGAACCTCAACGGATATTGTTCCATGTTTCCTTACATATATTTGTATACACTTTGGATATGGTAATGTATTTGCGTGATATTGGCAATGTGATAAAACATTATTACACTTATAAGAAAAAGTACCGGGGTCAATTTTCAATGGTTGTTTTTCCATTGTCAAACATTTACATGGATCACATTTTCATTGTAGACAACGTACCCGGGCCACATTTTCTACCATGAAAATGTGACACGGGTACGATTTCTACAATCGAAAAATGTCCCCGTCACATATCCATATAGCGTAAATGTCCCCGTCACATTTTCATAACATAAAATGTATTCTAACACGATTCGTTTGCAACGCGTGTTTTGATTGGATACGGACCATGTTCTAATCTGCGATAGAATCGTGATCAATCGTGTTAAGCTCCTCCCATCGCACTTAAGCCACGCCCCGTTTCAAACCAAAACAATATGGCGTCAAGCTCGCCTCTTAGCGAAATCCCGCTGATAAGGCTAGCAGGCAACAGAACAGAAAGTAAACGACCGATGAAATGTATTTGTTGAATGAATTAAAAAGTGAAAAGTAGTCATTCCTTGGTCTTACCTCCATTTATTACTGAAACGTTCATTCCATCCGTGTGAAGGCATATATTTAGATCCCAAATCAAATGAAACATTTCACATGTGTCGTATGCATTTACACAAAAATCTTCACAAATCTATACAAATAATCGCCCATTTTGTCGATAAGCACAGATTGGTATGCATACTGACATGGAAATGTAAGAACTTGGTCAATACCAATCCAAATGTGTCGTATAAACTTTGGTAACAGGACGTTCACGAACAATCCAAATATTCCGCCTCGTCAACATACAGATCGAGCGCTCGCCAGTATGGGCGGGGCCAAATGACCGACTTTTGAAAGCTTCTTTCCGATTGGTCAGTCCACTGCAGATTGACACGTCGCCAGTTCAGATCACAAAGTATTTTACTACGTACTTTTGTACAAGGAAATACAATGTTTCTAAACATATTAGCGTAGTATATTTGTTAAGGTGTGTTAGAATGGGGATAGTACGTTGTTTTTCGTGTCTATACTGGCGATTAGAACATGAAATTTGGTTCAAACTCAAATTTCATGTTCTAATCGCCAGTATAGCCACTCAAAACAACGTACTATCCCCTAATTCTAATACGATTCGTTTGCAACGCGTGTTTTGATTGGAGACGGACCATGTTCTTATCTGCGATAGAATCATGATCAATCGTCTTAAGCTCCCTCCCGTCGCACATAAGCCACGCCCCGGTTCTAGCAAAAACAATATGGTGTCAAGCTCGCCTCATAGCGAAATCCCGCTGATAAGGCTAGTAGGCAACAGAACAGAAACGACCGATGAAATGCATTGGTTGAATGAACTAAAAGAACTCATTCCTTGTTCTTACCTCCATATATTACTGAAACGTTCTTTCCATCCGTGTGAAGGCATCTATTCAGATCCGAAATCAAATCAAACATTTCACATGTGTCTTATGCATTGACACAAAACTCTTCACAAATCTATAAAAATAATCACCGATTTTGTCGATAAGCACAGATTGGTACGCATACTGACATGGAAATGTAAGAACTTGGTCAATATTAATCCAAATGTGTCGTATAAACTTTGGTAACAGGACGTTCACGAACAATCCAAATATTCCGCCTCGTCGAGCGTTCGACAGTATGGGCGGGGCTAAATGACCGACTTTTAAAAGCTTCTTTCCGATTGGTCAGTCCACTGCAGATTGACACGTCGCCAGTTCAGGTCACAAAGTACTTTTGTACAAGGAAATACAATGTTTCTAAACATATTAGCGTAGTATATTTGTTAAGGTGTGTTAGAATGGGGATAGTACGTTGTTATTCGTGTCTATACTGGCGATTAGAACATGAAATTTGGTTTAAACTCTCGACCTATCGGTCTCGAGTTCAAACCCAAGTTTCATGTTCTAATCGCCAGTATAGCCACTCAAAACAACGTACTATCCCCTAATTCGGGTCATTTTTTTTCAAGGAAGAAAACGGTACACAGATTAAATAAATACCCCAACCCTCTCCTCAAAACACATGTCAATTTTAATTTCAGGGTAGTTCCTACATCGCATAAATTGGGCTACAATCATGTTCTTTTGTAATGCAAGAGCTTGGGTGTAAATTATGTTGGCTTTCGATCGGCGGTTAAATTTTCAAACAAAAAATAACTTGGGATCTGCAAGTTAAACACTGGTCCCTTTCTTGTCATCAAAAAATCATTTCCGGTCTAATTTTAACAAACAAAAAAACTCGCTCTGTTCGGCGTTGAGGATGAAGTACACGTACTTTTAAAATATTACACAAGCACCATAAATTCGCCCCCATACTATGACCCTTATCATGGATTAAGAGAATCCATTGCTAATTCTTACATGCTTCGTTACAGAGACCATATTCTAATATGATAAAAAACAAACATGAAAGAAAAAAGACGTTTAGAAAACAAATATTATCATAATACTCTAACATTCAAACGCAGAGTTTCTACATTTCTGTCCCTCCTTACACCTCGATAATCATTTGTCATAATACATGGTGACTTATAAATCATTGTAACAGGATGGAATTCTGAACATTTTGGGGTATCGACTTTTGTACTTTGAAAACATTACACACGCACACGAAATTCAATTCCATAATATGACCTTTACTTGTATCATGGTTTAGGAGAATCCATTCCAGCTATTGAATACATTTGTGTGGACTGTCGATAAGGCGGGAATTTTAAATTTCGAATATAACTTGTAAGTTGAAAAAAAAGGCAGAAAAACGTGAATATAAGTATTGAACTAGCACGCATTATGATATTTAAAACTTAATATTAAGTCACCACGTAGTCTATAGGTAAGTACTGACATCTTATTTATTGTCTGTGTCGGGTAACCAATGTCCTGCTGTAAGTGTCAACAACACCGATACCCTGTGAATCACCTGACAGATTTGTCACTGCTTGGTGTTAAGTTCGCTATAATAAAAGAGAGGATATGGATATGAAATGTGTACATTGCGTGTTCCTTGTCAATTTACACTAAAGTAAAATTTAATCATAGCGAATATTTCAAGATATTTCTTGTATGGTCTTAGTCGATAAAACATCAGAATAATTCGGACTAGTATGGTCTATGCACTTGGAATGATTTCCAAGCTGACCTTACAAATTAAATGTGTATTTATGCAAAAATTAAATATTATCGACAATGGTCACAAGAATGCCTAAATTGGCACCCATCATTTTGTTCAATCGTGTGTAAAAGTGGGGTTGTAGCCCACCTGGGGCGGGAAAGCGCGGCCCGAATAGGAAAATAGAGGTATCATTCTCCATCCACATGAAGGAACTAGACTAGATCTAAGTCCGTGATATAGAAAAAGAAATTCTAATAAATGTAATTAAGGTGATCATTGGGCAAATGACATTCAACTTTGTATAAATCATGGATGGTGTGGTCTCCCCTTAGCACGAGTGACAGTTGGGCATCAATAAGTTAAAAAAAAATCGTTAACAATAAATTAAGTCGATACTAGATGTGGAACTGAAATAAATTCGTAATTAAATACCATATTGACAACACTATGTAAAATAGGTAATTTTCACAGTTGACTTGTCGTAAACATTTTACCACCCCGAATTACACAGTGGCATATTCCGAAAGTCTTTCACGTTTCCGTCATTTTCCGCTAGGATATCGTAATTTTCAGCTAAAACTAGATCAGGAAAATTAACAGTATAAAGAGATAAATCAAATATAAGAAACGGGCGTAACGTTAGGTACAGTACAGGCTGACTAAGACCCTCTTCCACAGTGGGAGAGGAACTGGAAAATGTCATTCTATCCTGACAAGTGTAATTTCATGTCAATCACTAGAAATAAGTCCCCTGTCAAATTTCAGTACTCTTTAAATAGTCATCCGATCCAACACGTAGATGATGTGAAATATTTAAGCCTTAACATCCAATCAAACCTAAAATGGGACACTCATAAGTAAAGTGTGTGCCAAGGCTTATTCCACCCTAGGCTTCCTCCGCAGAAACCTAAATATATGCATGCACTGTATGGGACCTGAATATGTACAGTACGTGTTGATGACATGCTGAGCAAGCTCGGCTGGACCTATCTAGAAAAAACGACGTAGGGATATGCGCCTTTGTACCTTTCCATATAATTGTACACAGACAAATTCGGTTGCTCCTTCACGTCTCACCAGGAAGCCCATGCTCATTCCTTTTAAGCACCATCATGCAGAACTCAAGTCCGAAAACACTCATTTTTTCCTTATATAGCAAGTTTTGGTTACACGGAGAAACAAGTTAAAATCTTAGACATTGATATACAATATTTAGTAAGTTTTCGTTTGAAAGTTGTGGAATTGTCTATTTTCTTTAGGTCACTGTGTAAAACATTCCAGTCGTTTATACTGTCAATAAGGAAGTGTCTGGAATAAAAAAAAAAAAACAGTTCTATGTTTTGGCACTTTGAATTATTTTCAATAGCACTCAATATTATGTGTGTTGCATTTTAGTGAGATAGACAATGTATATATATATATACTTATAGTTATTAATGTATATAGATCTACTTCTTTTGCAGCATAAGTAATTTAATTTTTTCATTAACTATTTAAAAAAAATACTATAAAAATCAATCTAAAATGCAACTTAATTATTTTCGTTCTTCCTCGTTGAAAATTTGAAATAGCTGACATTTATGCTGAATATACATTGTTTGTCAATATGTTTAGGGTAAGAAACTTGGCACATCATTTGACATATCTTTTACTTTTCACAAATTGACTGACAATCTCTTTCATCAACATGCAAACTGATAACTCATTTAATGTTTTAAAAATAAATTATAAGAACATTTTTTTTTAAACAATTGCAGTCTTAAGGTTACGTGTTCCTAATCAGTAATATTTAAGTGAAACTGGGGCGATATGGTTGTCATATTTGCGCGAAATGAACTAAGAATTATGGCAATATTAAAAGAAGCTGGGGCGTAACGGTTTCTCTGTCTTACTTCATCCCATGCCTGACTTTCTCTCACACCCTCCTAAGACAAGAGAAATTTTATTTAAAGTCGGTGGGCATTTTAAAAACAAATAACAAAGCGCTATAGAGCCCTTGTCTGACATACGTGTTACATACAAGTTACATACAAAGACATTCACACTTGGACAAGCAGTGACGGATCCAGAGATCTATCGGGGGGGGGGGGGGGGGGGTCCAAATTTCCAGGAGGGTTTCCAAGTGGGGAAAAAATTAGGAAAATGGGTGGGGGGGTACCTGAAGCCCAAAAAAACACTCTGGATCCGCCACTGACAAGTAAGACATATTAACACTTGGACAAGTTAGACATATTAACACTTGAACAAGTTAAACATATTAACACTTAGGCAATACAAATATTTTATTATTCCTCATAGATTTTACAGCGTTTCTTGATTGGTTTTAACACATTACATGACAGGATAATAAAACATAGGGTATCCCTCACGCGATCCATTTTCCCTGTCGAGTATCCCTCTCGGAACCCCTCACGAATTATCTGACGAGTTAGACTCTCTAACGCCCGATGTGTTCTGGACGACACCACAAACATCAACAATGGCTGCAAACGGGAGATTCCACCTCCCAACAGCTGAAGAACATGAAGGGCGATTATTGTTGTTTAATTCGATGTGAAATCAAAACTAATAGTGAGAGGTATTTGCAGTATATATATATATGCTACAATGAAATAAGGGCGAACAAGTCAGTCGCAACAGTGACAACACAGGGGCTCGTTACATTGCCTAACGTTGATGTATTTTGGCTCACCTGCCCGAAGGACTGGTTGAGTGGTAAACACTCCGGCCTTCCACGCGGCCTGGGTTCGATCCCTGAAGTCGTCATATTCATGGATATTCAGAAAAAGTGATTTTCTCCTGCCCACACAACTCCAACAACCCAGGTAGAGAATAAAATGGTCTAAGGTGGATGTTGCGGTATTTGTGCTGTAGCATTCAAGCGAGTTGGCACTATAACTGATACCGTTGGAAGCACTGTCCCGCTACAAACAGACCACACTACATTTCAAGCAAACACGAAGGCATACACACATGGGGAGATATAAGCCAGGTGGCATAGGACTAGAAGTTAGCACCTGATAAGGCAGCTCTTGTGAATTACTCATAAAAATGTATTGAATTCACGTATATGCTATGTGCTAATTGTAAATCTATGTACTGTAAAGCACTTTAGAGTGGCTTATGTTAGCTACATTAGGCGTTGTATCAAATGTTGTTTATATGGATATATATAGATAATCAATGTTTTTCATAAAATAATAACAAAAGGGCAAATAAACTTCCTTATTTAGAGAATTGTTTAACTTTTTTCATGTCGGATGATTGGATGACCGAATATGCCCAGCCCTTGTGTAAGTTCGGTCCACATTGGAATCAGTATAACTATGACCTCACAATGCATGTATCCTATGGGCCGTACCTGCCCCGGTGTCAATGGACGAACCTGACCCAAATTGATATATTAAGAAAATTGTATACCAAAGCAATACGAAAGACAATACTAAGCGTTTATGTATACTGCTAAGACCCTCAAAATTATAAATATTTGCTCAAGACCAAAAATATCTGGATTGGCCGGTGTTAATTCCCGGGTCAAACTTGCCCCGGCTCCTTGTCCCTAACCCCATATTGAACCCTCCCACACTGGATCAGCCCCGGCTCCTTGTCCCTAACCCCATATTGAACCCTCCCACACTGGATCAGCCCTGGCTCCTTGTCCCTAACCCCATATTGAACCCTCCCACACTGGATCAGCCCCGGCTCCTTGTCCCTAACCCCATATTGAACCCTCCCACACTGGATCAGCCCTGGCTCCTTGTCCCTAACCCCATATTGAACCCTCCCACACTGGATCAGCCCCGGCTCCTTGTCCCTAACCCCATATTGAACCCTCCCACACTGGATCAGCCCTGGCTCCTTGTCCCTAACCCCATATTGAACCCTCCCACACTGGATCAGCCCCGGCTCCTTGTCCCTAACCCCATATTGAACCCTCCCACACTGGATCAGCCCTGGCTCCTTGTCCCTAACCCCATATTGAACCCTCCCACACTGGATCAGCCCCGGCTCCTTGTCCCTAACCCCATATTGAACCCTCCCGCACTGGATCAGCCCTGGTTCGTTGTTTTTCAAAGCACCTTAGAAACACTTACAAACTAAATATTCGTGATATGCATAGGAATAATTAACCAAATTATCCCTATGCAGATTTTATCCCTGCCGTCCATGTTGGAAATTTGGACCTTTATCTATTTTTTCCTTCATCTTTCTTTACTTAGCTGTTGCGATGATACAAAACTCGAAACAAAAAATGTGCATAGATTTTTTTTGTATCTGTGATTGTTCCATTCCATTTTTCAATGGACATTCCTTTTTGATTAAAATCAGCCTTTTTTGAAGTGCTGGGCAATCGTAACAATATAAGACCCATATAGCTTTTCTGTTTCTTTTCTTATATGAACTGGACAACAAAATGAATAGCTTTTAATAACTTGTGATCATGCATGATGAACATCTCAGAATTTTAATTTTAATTTTTCTTTGAACTGCTGGATTGCCAAAAGAAATCAGAAGAAGGTTTCAAATCAGTGCTTGTATGGAGTCAAAAAAATAATTATTGGCATTAATCATACCTGTTTGCTTTCTTCAGATGGTACCGTAATGTACTGATATCAGTAATAGCCAATAATGAATACATTTAACGAACAAAACTGACCTAGGGCTTTAAATGTGGGATCTTCTTGAAACTACGTGTATTTATACTTTCCATAAGTATAATTTACTGTTTATTACATTATGCAATTCTGATGCCAATAGTAATCACATACGTTGTAACAAAAACGTATATACACAATTACTAATGTACTGTAAGAGAATTTTCTGCATATTTTTGTCCAAAATAATTTGGTAAGGTGAAGAAGCAAATGGCTTAGCAAAATGTGCCTTTTTATATTAAACTCATAGTATTAAATCAAGTAACGGAAATATATGACAGTATTCTGAAATGAAAATGCAGAAAAAAATTGTCGTGTTTGAATATTCAGAAAAAAAACACACTTTTTATTTGATAATTGTGATAAAATAACTTCAGAAGAACTTTTTGAAAGTAGTATAAATGCATGAAATACGTACACTAACGTCACATCAAAGATATCCTTTATGTGAACCTGCCTTCAGTGTAGTTACAAAGCAAACATGTGCACTGAACTGTAGGGATAAGAATAAACAAAATCAAAATATTCTTAATAATGTAGTATAGCTGCAGAACATTCAGATTGACTTCAGTAAGTATTGTCGACGATGTCGCGTGTCAACAGTGACGTCAAAGTCGCGTCACAACATGTTGTCAGCGTCAATTCATCATTTCACAAACAGCAAAATACGTGGAATGGTATATAGATACGGACTTATCAGTATCAACCGATATCAATCATTTGAAGCTAAGGACAAATGACGAAGTACTAAATTGAAACAGTTTTCAGTTCGGGAAAAATGAAAATATCAAAATAGTATATAGAACATCGAAGGATTTTATCAGTAACATCGACTTGTAAAAAGCTTGTAGAATTGTTTCTGAGCATAACAATCTGCCAGAGATACGACAAAAAGACAAGGTGTTCATTGAAAATGTCAAATTAATTGTTTGTGCCAAAAAAGAACATCAATGCAGTCACGCATGCTGCTGTTTTTTGCGTACATGTGTTGCTTTATTGGCTCGCACTGCTCGGCGATGGCCGAGAGTGCCCGATATTAATGGTACAAATATAGAGGCAGTGCAAAAAATGGGAAATTTGACCAAATTAATCATTCTCTGGAAATATCTGATGGTTACTAGCCATAGTTTGTCAAATTTATGACTAATATGGGTGGTCAGCATGAATATTAACTCAGTAGTTGGTACTGTGACTTATTCGGGCATTAGATTTTATTAACAGCTATGTAGATGTAGAATCTAATGTATTCCTTTTCTTTCAGCATCTACCTCTCCCCAAATCACCTATAACAGCTTTGACAATGGCCTCCAACTATCAGTCGAGCAGTGTAACCACTAACTTCGCCCGACTGTCTAGACTTGTCCTTGATGTTGTTTGTGACCTTCTCAGAGATGTGCTCGAAGCCAAAGTGCCACCCCCAGGACTTACTGCCATTCTAGGAAGTCAAAAAGATCAGCTTTGCAGAAATCTTGAACATCGTCAGCGACAGATTCTTTATCCCTCAGGTAGAGTGTTCTCAGGTACCCTGGAAGACTTGGACTTTACACTTCTATATAAACTACTAAGAAACCTCCAGAGTATCAATATTCCACCACACCAGACTGGTTGGGGGAAGCCACCAGACCCAGCAGACAGGTCACTTTCAGCTAATATTGACCGGTTGAGAGTCCAGCGAAATGAATCTTATGGACACCTGTCGACTGCATCACTGTCTGATTCAGACTTCAATAATAGGTGGTACCTCATCCGTCAGAGCGTGTGTGAAATTGAAAAGGACGCTTTGACAGGTGACACATACGTAACAGCTGTGGATGATCTACTGACCGTGAGCATGGACCCTGAGGCAGAGACATATTATATAGAGGAACTAGAGAAACAACACAAGGCGGACTTGGAGGTCAAGGCCATTGTACATGAGGTCAAAGGTCAGTATACTTTACATTGTTTCTAAAAACATTTGACCTTGTTTGTGAATATTTGAGGAAATCTTATTATTAAGTATTTTTACTTAAAATATATTGTTAACAAAAGCATACAGACGAAGTTCAGAAACAGACCTATTTCCTGAAGTTGTAGCAGACAGACACTGTCAAGATTTTTAAAATGAGATTTAAAAAATCTAATGAAATGTGATATAATGTATATTGGCCCACCATCACATGATGGCTTAAATCACTTTTCCCTGTGGCAGTACTAGCTGTATAAACACCAATACTAATTTTGTCTTTTTCATTTTCTAAATTGGAAGTCAAATTAATGTCCAAATCTATCTTCAAATTGTTTGCCCACCACCATCAGATTACCTAATTAAGATGTTGATATTTTCAAATGTAGCTGATTTAAATATATTTGCTGACAAAGTCTCATTTCTGTGTTGCATTTGTCTTACAGCTAGACAGGAGGTCATGGCAACAAACATCAGTGATGTTTCCACCAGGCAGGAAGTCATGGCAACAAACATCAGTGATGTTTTAAACAGACAGGAAGTCATGGCAACAACCATCAGTGATGTTGCCACCAGGCAGGAAGTCATGGCAACAAACATCAGTGATGTTTTCACTAGGCAGGAAGTCATGGCAACAAACATCAGTGATGTTTCCACCAGGCAGGAAGTCATGGCATCAAACACCAGTGATGTTTCCACTAGGCAGGAAGTCATGGCAACAAACATCAGTGATGTTTCGACCAGGCAGGAAGTCATGGCAACAAACATCAGTGATGTTTCCAACAGACAGGAAGTCATGTCAACAACCATCAGTGATGTTTCCACCAGGCAGGAAGTCATAGCAAGGGATATGCATGACTTAAAAGGTATAATCAACATCGCTTAATCAGAAACTGCTTTGAGTGGTATACAAAATTTCATCGTTAATAGTTCAACTTTAGAGGGTCAAAACAAAGTCACTGTTAAAATCTCACCTGGTCCGTCTGGTGTCAATGTTTTAGCTAAACTTCCTCAAGGGCTAGCGAGCTTATACAATGATATGGCGTCTATCGTTCGTCCGTCCGGTGTCCGCCGAATTTCTTTTTAGCAACTTCTTCTGAATAATGAAGAGGTCACAGGGGTCAAATATGTAAAAAGCTGCTTCTGAAGAACTGAAAGGAATAAAATGTTAATATTAGACTGGTAGCTAGCTTCTTGGGATAGAGCCTGACAAAGCTTGTGAGTAAAAATGACCTTGACCTACTTTCAAGGTCACAGGGGCAGATTTATCAAACACTACAAACAATTTCTTCTGAATAATCGACAGGCATAGAATCATAATATTTGGCTGGTAGCTTCTTCAAACAGAGCCCAAAAAAGTTTGCAAATGAAAATGACATAGACCTACTTTAAAGATAACAGAGGTCAAATATGTCAATGACTTCAAACGACTTCTTCAGAAGAACCGAAAGGCAAAGAAGCATAATATTTGGCTGGTAGCTTTCTAGGTTTGAAAATTAAAATGACCTGTACCTGCTTTCAAGGTCACAGGAGTCAAATATGTTAAGCAATTGCAAATGAAGATGACCTCGACCATTACAAGGAATAGATATGTCAAAACCTTTAAATGACTTCTTTTAACGAACTGAAAGACATAGAGTCTTGAATATTTTACATGTAGCTTCCTTAGATGAAGCCGAACAGTTGGGGAATAAAAAATATTTTGACCTAGTTGCAAGGTCACAGGGATTAAAGGTGTTAACATCTTGAAATGTCTTTTTCTGAATTTCCAGAAGACTTGTGTGATAATATTTGTCCAGAAGCATGATAGAAGCAGGGGCTATCACTTGTGTTCCAATTAACAGCCTATCTTAACATTCAAGGTCACAGGAGTCAAGTTACTAGACATTTTTAATTATTTCTTCTGAATAGCCAAGAGGCTTAGATTGATGATATTTTATCAATGTTTTGAAGGAATGATCTTGACCCACTTTCTAGGTCACAGGGGTCAAACGACTTAATCTCGTTAACAAAGGGTCACAAGGTGATGATTCTTTGGATTAAGAGCTACCAAGTTTGTTCAACTGAATGACTTCGTTAGACTTTCAAGGTCTCTAGGGTAAAATTTGAAAATCTTGTAACAGGTTGTTTTTATTAACCAAGAGTCATAGGTAAGGATATTTATCTTATAGCTTAATGTAGGCTTTAAAGTGTTAGAATTATAGTAGATGAACAATGCATGCCGATGAGGCTTCTTGTTTCTTTAAACAACTTCTTCTTCTTCTTAAGTTAATCACTGATTGGAATTTAACCATATTTGACTTGAAGCATCCCTAAGTGGTGGGAATTCAAAATTTTACAAATTGTGGGGCTGACCCCCCTAGGGGGCTGAGGGATGGGGCCAAAAGGGGTCAATTTTGCTGTATTATTTTAAATGACTTACTCTCTGGAACTAAGCGATGGATGTCAACCATATTTGACTGAAAGCATCCCTAGGTGTTGGTGATTCAAAATTGTACAAATGGTGAGGCTGACCGAACCACTCGGGACATAGTTTCTTAGTCACAGCTTGGAAACAGTTGAGATCCCCACCCTATAACCATGTATTGTTGAGCATAAAGAAACGAATGCAGTCATGATATTAGAATTGACCCCAGGGTCTGTCCCATCCTTGCAGACGTAACCCTTGGGTCATAACTTTGAAACGGTTGAGATCCCCACCCCAAAACTATAAATACAAATGCTGGGCAAAAGGAGACAAATGCATTCATGATATTTGAATTGATCCTGGGGTCTGACCACAACCCTATGGACCTAGTTTCTGAGTCACAGCATGGAAACAGTTGAGATCCCCACCCTATAACCATACATCAAATTGCTTGGCATGAAAAATCTAATACAGATATGCTACAAGTAGTGGCCTTGAGGTCTGGTATATTCCCTTGTTTCTCATTTGGAGAATATTTTGCCATAATTGCTTAGATATCCAGGTGAGTGATACAGGACCTCTGGGCCTCTTGTTTTTTTAAACAACTTTTTCTCAGTAACCAAATGGCCTAGGATGATGGTATTTTTTTAAGTAGCAAATCGGGATGAAGGGCTACCAATTGTGTTCAATTGAATGGCATTTACCAAATGTCAGGGTCAAATATGACCCGATTGCATCACAGGGATCTATTGGCTTATACCAACTCTAACCACTATTTCTTACTTATGAAAAGGATCAAGGTGATAATATATTGCCGTTCACATGCTGGAATGAAGAGCTATCAACTTTGTTCAAAAATGTCTTTGACGTATCTTCAAGGTCAGAGGGGTCAAATATTCAAACACTTAAAGTGACTTGATCTAAAGAACCGAAAGGTCAAGAGTGATATATTTGGCCTGTAGCATGCATAGGGGAAGGCTATTAAGTTTGTTGAATTGATCATGAATGACTTTGACCCAATGTCAAGATAAAGGGGCAAATATGGTGAAATCTTTCTATATACTTCTTTTCAATCTTGTTCAAATGAACAGCCTTCACCAATTAAGGAAATTGTGGTCAAATGTACTAGCCTATGGTGATGACTTTTGACCAGTAGCATGCTGGGACAAAGGATAACAAGTTTGTTCAAACAAATGGCCTTGACCCTCTTTCTACATGTGTTAAAATTTTAAAATGACTTCTAGATAACGTAAAGTCTCATGATATTTGACCAGTAGCTTGCTAGCATTAAGGGCTTCAAACTTTGTTCAACTGAATGACCTTTTTCATCATCCAATGCCACAGATGGGACATTATACAAATTTGTTTTGAAAATAATTTGTTGAACTTTAAGAAATTGGAATTCAATTGACTTGACTATGTAATAAACATGTTTGTCATATTTTTCCAGGTAACCTGGCTGCTATGAATGTCACAACAGCAAACACAAGCCATGCCGAAAGTAAGTTTGAAAGCTGCAAGGTTGCTGGATCAGTTATAGAGATTATCTCCCCTTTCAATTAAATTTCAGTCAATGAAAACAGATAATCAGGTGATTTAGTGAATCATTTAAGTAAAAGAAACAACATGGCTATTTTGACAGAACATTGCTATAAGGTGTTTGCGAGTCAGAAGACAAGTACCTGTACTTGTTCTCTATACATGTAATGATATCTACTAGTGTACTACATGTATTATGATTCATGGTTAGGAAATAATCTTGTCAAGTTCAGATTACAACATGATATTACTAATTAGTAAGAAAATTGTCTGTGATAAATAGTTTATTTAAAATTCAATCAGCTATGCCTTACTTATTTAATATAAATGTCTTTACAGAAATCCATCCTGACTTAGAACCCATGATAGGTGAGTCTAAACTACTGGATTGGGCATGGTTAGAGAAGAAACGCAGATTTCCTCAAAATTTGGACCAGAACAACAGGCATCATCTAAAGATCTATGAAAGAAGTCTTTTACTTCTGTTTGAACAAGAATCTTGGTTCACCAAAAGAGAAGTCTTGATATCCAGATGCATCCCCAATCCGATTAAGTTTATTCTTTCTCTGTTCCTATACACTATGGTATAGGATTTAACAATAAGTACATAACAGGTTATGTTTGGTGAATGTTATTGCAGACAATCTTTGAAATGCCCTTCCGAACAATATTTCAAGTACTTGTATAATTGATCATGACTTCTGTATTGAATCAAAGGTCACCAGATCATATGACTTGTGATGTCATGTCATCAGATCTTACACCACAGATATTGTAGAGGAACAGAATGGAAGCTTCGTTTTGAATCAGATTTGATTTATAAGCTCATCTAGAACAAAGTACCAGTGTGAACTAATGTGGTGGTGCTTCATCTGTCGTCGTCCCTGTCGTCCATCAAATTTCATGTTCAATGACATCTCCCTAAATATTGACCAGCATTTAACCGAATTCTAGCATTTTTAGGCCGAGGCGATCAAAAGATTTAAAATGTTGTGGCTGACCCCCTACCGGCGTGCTGAGAGACTGGGCCCAAAGGAATTAAATTGTCTGATTTGCATTAAATGATGTCTCCTTATATACCCCCAGCAACGAACTAAGGTGTGTATACTGGAATCACCCTGTCCATCCGTCCGCAGTGACTTGTCCTGAAAACTCCATTTTAACTAACATGCATATTTTATTGAAACTTCACTTAAATGATCAGTATATTATGTAGTTGTGCATCGGCATTTTATTTTCATATCGCAACACTTTTTAAGGGAGTTACGGCCCTCTATTGGAAATAACTTATCCGGAAATCCCAAGGTCAAGGTCACTTACTGATGTTTAAACTTCCAGCATCTGCGGGTATAGGTTATCCTCCAGATGACAGTTCTAGTTAATTACTGTGTAGATATCGACCAAATTGTAGTGGTAGCATACCTAATTCATTGGGATAATAAGTTATACAAAATAAAATAGCTGAAACCTTGGGGGTTTATGATTTTGATCAAAAGGGGTCAAAATTGAAGATTTTCTTTTAATGACTTCTCTTCATTGGGAAGGCTTTAAAAAAATTACTGTGATAGTGTTTGTGGCCCATGGGGGTCAAAAGTAATACAAATAAAGGAGCTGCCTTTCTTGGGGCTCTGGACCCAGCCTACTCAGCAGATTTCAAGTTAATTTCCCAAATAGCCAGGTGAGCGATTCAAGGCCATTGGGCCTCTTATGCTGTAATGACTAAGTTTCTTCATTCATGAGGCATTGGATTGTAGCAGAGGTCTTTTTTTTAAATGCTTTCACTGGGGTTTGATCCAAGGACCACTGACTTACCAGTCTGACCCTCTACTGATTGGGCTTAAAAGATATTCTCTTAAGCTTATTCAGCAGCATGCCAGATCAGTAAAACAGAGGACCCAGGTTGATTTCTAGCAGAAGCATATTATTGGAACAAAGCATAATGTAATGTTGAAAGTATTTCCAGCGATTAATTCTATTTGACAGCTTAAACTAATATGTTTTGTGTTGTCATACTAAATGTATTTGTGACGTTATGATCATATATATTTATCAACATTCTTTTGATAAGAAATGGTAAAACCTTGAGTCTTTTAAACATAAGTCAATCAAGTTACCAATCATTGGGTAAAATATATGTCACATATAATGACAAGGTTTCTTGTCTGAGCTTGAAACATTATTTGGTCATTTTAGCTGAATGAGTATTTAAGCCTTATATAATGGTAGTTATTGCCATCTTTTGTGTTATCTTAACCGGTTACACATTTTTTCCATGTTTGGTAAAAGATCAGTTGATTTATTTTTTGATACTACCATTAATTCACTCATTTAACTCTTCCTTTACAAATTATTCTTCACAGTATTCTAAAGTATATTGGATATGATTCTCTGACTTATAGATTTAATAGCCATATTGGTTACATTCTAACAAATCCATTTCATATAATTAAGACTTTTCAGTCCATATTTCTTTTCTTTTTTATACAGAAACAACCAAAGCCAAGATCAAAAAAGAAAAAGAGGAGAAAAAGTTCTACCCCACCAAAGGTTTCTGTGATGCTAAAGAAAAGCTACTAAAGAACAAGGTTGTCGTCATCAAGGGAAACACGGGAGACGGTAAAACAGCAATCGCCGTTCAACTCCTTCATTGGCTGAGTCAGGAGCAAGAAGCAGGACAACCCTTACAGCTTCATATGATTGAGAAATTAGATTTATTGGCTCCAAACTTAAAACTGATCACTTTTATTGATGATGTTTTTGGTGAGAAAGATGTGTGTAAAAAGGATGTACAAGAGTGGAACAAAAGAGTCTCGGATGTAAACACACTTTTTGTAGATGAACGAACCCAGACCAATTTTCTCATCATTACTATTCGTAACGAAATATTCAATTCTTTAGAAGAACGTTCTCTTGGAACAATTTTAACCATAGATAACATTATTGATCTGAGTTCACATACATACCAAGTTGCGGAAGAAAAATCATTTTTTTTAGAGCTGTATAAGCCAGAAAAATTTTCTTGGACAGATAAAGAAAAAGCACGAATTTCAACTTATGCACCAAACATTGGATTCCCGCAGTGTTGCCAACTTTTCTACAATTCTGAAGAATTACAGAAAGAACGAGATAGATTTTTTGAAAATCCTTTTCATTTCTTGAATGAAGCATTGTCAAAATTACAAGAATGTTCTGCACTTTTGTATCTCTTCCTTAATGGCGGAATGATAAAGGTAAAAGATCTGGATCCAAACAATACAAAAATCAAAGAAAAATGGCTGAAACAAGCATTTTCAGTAAAGTTGATTGGTGGTAAATGTGACAAAGCTTCTTTGTTTCATGATAACATGGGAAAAGTTGGATATATAAAGGACAGTTTCAATGAATTATTAGGCTTTTTGGTAAAGAAGGAGAAACATTGGTCTGGTGAGGATGTGTACAGATTTAATCATGATTCTATATATGTTGCTGTGGCACTTTTGTATGGACAAGTCACACTGATTGGCTTCATACAGAATTGTCCCAGCAAATCCCTAAGTTATCTAACAACCTCAAAAACAGCTTCAAACATGATTGTCATAGCATCTGATCATTATACAGAAATGTGTGAGCGTCTACTCCGAGAGTTTGAATGTAAGAAGTATCTATATGGTACTAGTATTGGCTCTCTGGATGTATGGAATGATCCTGTATTTGTTAAAAGATTTGTGAGGTTTTTGAATGACAGAAAAGTTGACAAACTTGATGTGTTGAATAAAGCATGTTATTTTGGTGCAGGAGAATGTGTTTTATATCTTCTGTCAAAAGGTGTAAAACCTGACAAGTACACAGCATGGTGGTCATTGATTAGTATACATCGGAATGATAGTAGCAGACAAGTGTGTTTACTTAGGAAAATTGTTGTATACTTGAATGATAAGACAAAAGTTGATGTGTTGAATAAAGCATGTTATTCTGGTGCAGAAGAATGTGTTTTATATCTTCTGTCAGGAGGCGTAAAACCTAACAAGGACACAGCATTGTCATTGGTTACTAGTGAACATTGGAATGATAGAAACAGACAAGTGTGTTTACTTAGGAAAATTGTTGTACATTTGAATGATAAGACAAAACTTGCTGTGTTGAATAAGGCATGTCATTTTGGTGCAGGAGAATGTGTTTTATATCTTCTGTCAGAAGGTGTAAAACCTGATAAGGACACAGCATGGTGGTCATTGATTGACAGACATCGGAATGATAGAAACAGACTAGTGTTTTTACTTAGGAAAATTGTTTTATGCTTGAATGATAAGACAAAACTTGATGTGTTGAATAAAGCATGTTCTTCTGGTGCAGAAGAATGTGTTTTATATCTTCTGTCAGAAGGTGTAAAACCTGACAAGGACACAGCATTGTCATTGGTTACTAGTGAACATTGGAATGATAGTAACAGACTAGTGTGTTTACTTAGGAAAATTGTTGTATACTTGAATGATGAGACAAAACTTGATGTATTGAATAAAGCATGTTCCTCTGGTGCAGAAGAATGTGTTTTATATCTTCTGTTAGAAGGTGTAAAACCTGACAAGGACACAGTATTGTCATTGGTTAGTAGTGAACATTGGAATGATAGTAACAGACAAGTGTGTTTACTTAGGAAAATTGTTTTATACTTGAATGATGAGACACAATTTGATGTGTTGAATAAAGCATGTTCTTCTGGTGCAGAAGAATGTGTTTTATATCTTCTGTCAGAAGGTGTAAAACCTGACAAGGACACAGCATTGTCATTGGTTAGTGGATGTTGGAATGATAGTAACAGACAAGTGTGTTTACTTAGAAAAATTGTTGTATACTTGAATGATAAGACAAAACTTGCTGTTTTGAATGAAGCATGTTATTCTGGTGCAGAAGAATGTGCTTTACATCTTCTGTGTGCGGGAGTAGAACCTGACAAGGAGACGGTGTTTAGTGTGGTGGAGGGAGGGAGTGTTAAAGTGTTACGTAAACTACTGCAGTATGATGTCACTCCTACAGCGAGGTATTATTACAATTTCAATGTCCTACATACGGCATGTGAGTCTGAGAAAGAAGAGATGGTGACGTTGTTATGTGACACTTACCCACACTTGGTACACGACACTGGTTGGTTAGGACGAACCCCGCTCCGTGTTGTGGCACGGAGAGGAAACTGTTTTATGTTTCAGACAGTGGAGAGGTGTGTACTTAACTCCTTATATAGAGTTGAGGACCAACAACATAAGTGTGAGTTAGTAGATGGTCGTGTTGTTCATAGGAACTGTGCATGTGCTCAGTACATGGCGCAGTTATTGGGTAATGACGGGGGAACGGTGTTACATGAGAGTTTTGTGAGGGGAAACAGGGAGCTTTGTTTATATTTATGTCGGTCGTACCCAGCACTAACTACAGCTGTAAGTAATGCCGGGAGAACGGTGTTACATTATAGTTGTATGATGGGAAACAGGGAGGTTTGTTTATATTTATTTCAGTCGTACCCAGCACTAACTACAGCTGTAGATAATGACGGGTATCATTGTCTACATTACTTAGCTTTGTTAACATCAGATGTAGACTGGTTCACTGAGTGTGAAACTCATGTTAAACAACACCTAGAATCTACAGGACGTAAATATGACAGCACCACCATACTTGACAATAAAGGGGATTCTGTTTTAGACAAAGCGAAGGAAAGGGCAAAGTTCTGGGGGACAAAAAACGACCCTTTGTTAGATCATCTTATAAAAGCGGCACGACGATTTACCCAAAAACACACAAAAACACCCAAAAGCACCCCAAAACACCTCACCTCACCGATAGCGTTTAGCTGAAGAAATAGTAAATTATTTTACCAACTGTAACGAATGAATGCAATTTGTTTTATTATCTGCGGAAACACGGAGGTATTTAGTGACTTGCAAAATATATCGCTGCAAGTAAAGGGAGGTAAATCGTTGAAGAAACAAGACAATATACACAACTATGCAATTACAAATAAGTAAACTCCATTTAATCCTTTTGTCTGATGTATGAGTATTTAATCCTTTTGTCTGATGTATGAGTATTTAATCCTTTTGTCTGATGTATGAGTATTAAATCCTTTTGCCTGATGTATGATTATTTAATCCTTTTGTCTGACGTATGAGTATTTAATCCTTTTGTCTATGAGTATTTAATCCTTTTGTCTGATGTATGAGTATTTAATCCTTTTGTCTGATGTATGAGTATTTAATCCTTTTGTCTGATGTATGAATATTTAATCCACCATGCAGAGCAGAGGTGAGCAAGGCATTTTTTTCTGATATGTTAATGATAATGATGTTAAAATCCCAAAACCAAATTTTATTAAAAAAAAAAGGGGGGGGGGGGGTTNGGGCTTCGTACCTCATGGATTCGCTTGTGTAGAGTGACAAGTGTTTATATTGTCATCAAGTATTGATACATATTACTTGTTTATCTTATATATGGTTATCTATCTGAAATATCTGGTCGCTGTGTGTTATAGGAAACTAAGAGACTGTTTTTAACTGTGATAACATGTTATCTGAAACTAAGAGACTGTTTTTAACTGTGATAACATGTTATCTGAAACTAAGAGACTGTTTTTAACTGTGATAACATGTGGCGGTCAGATACTGTTTGCTGAATTATGACTGATACTTGAATATTCGGTGACAATCTTATATGAAATATTTAATACTAAAAAAAAGAAAATTATTGCATTTCTATATATACATAAAATGTACAATAGATGTATGGATGATTTTATCCTTCCAGTATTATGCTACCCCTTCACAACTGAATTGATTTTGTAGAATGTTATTCTTTGTATGGTTTCTTGTACAGTCAAATCTACTAGCGACCATCTGTATTTAACGATCATCTATTTAATGCAACCACCTTTCATTCCTCCCGACCGTTTTTATTATGTAATTAAACTGCATTAAGCGACCATCTGTAAACTATATTAAAAAATACACTTGGATTAACATTACTCCCAATTCTGTCATCTCAGTGAAGATGAAATAATCATCCCCTTGCAAGGAGGTTGTGGAGGAGAAATAACGTTCGGTTTGTATGTACTTGTTTGTAAATTCGTACTTATGTTCACATTTTATCATCACTGTGGCAAGTTCATTTTAAAAGGATCTTAATCTGTTTTTATACATTTAGATTAAGTATGAAAATATGTCAAACAAGTTTATGTTTCATATTTTCAACTACATTTGATTTCTGTACAGATTTTGATCAAATTTTACGCATTTGTAAAGTATGAGAATACATCAACTGAGTAATTTTTTTTAGGATCCCAAGGTCAAGGTCATGGTCACTATTTATAGAATTCTTTGTATTGGAATCAGTAAGGTTATTTCTGAAAGGACTTTGATCAATCTCACATATTGGACAAAAATTGAAATATCTCATACAGTTTATTGCTATAAACAGATTTTGATCATCGTCATGGATCTGTAACTGAAACGACTTGATGATGTTGACATATATGTAATTGTAGAACAACTGGGCCAGACTTTTACAATTGAGTAGGTCAGATAGCTCAGTAAGTTAGAGCGACAGAACAATTATCAGGAGCCCTGAGTTCGAATCCTGACCTGGTCTAGTTGTATTGCATACTCAATAGGTTAATGTGATAATGATCGGAAGCCCTTGGTTCGAATCCTGACCTGGTCTAGTTGTATTTTTATACTCAATAGGTTAGTGTGATAATGATCGGAAGTCCTAGGTTCGAATCCAGACCTGGTCCAGTTGTATTTTTATACTCAGTTTTTGCAGGGGCTGGTTATTAATAAATGATTTCACACAGGTATAATTATGCCAGATAAAAGTTTTTAGTGCATTACTACAGGATTCATCTTGATTTGTTAGTTAAAATGTTCATATGTACCAGAATTGATTTTTGTTTCATTTCATGAGGATAATTGTTTTAAAAATGTAACATCTTCTCAATTTTGAAGAAATGTTGTATTTTCACTATTTTCAATAATTGCCTATATTCCGTGTATAACAAATCACTGATACTTTGACAAAACTAACCTTATCAGTCTGAACAATGAGACATATATTACTTTTGTATGTATTTTAGAGTTTTTGATGATTTTAAGTTTTATAATAATTTGTATCAAGTGAAAAGAATGTTTTGTGCTTTCATGATGTTATACGTTTTTCCAGGAATATATACATCAATTGAAATATTTGAGTATAGTTTATATGTGGATAAATAGAGAGTATAAGTTTCATGGCTTTGATTGAGAGATAATTATAGGATGGTAGTAAAATGTTTTACAGAGATACCATGTACACACTAATGTATTTGTGAAAACAAGCACATGACTTATTGTGTATTGTCCACACAATATTTACAATAAACATAATTTATTTAGAAAATATATGTTTTCATTTATTTATTTTCTCATTTGGTCCATGAGATCATTCTGAGTCGATGTCATACAGCGGCTTTTGTCGTCAGTCAATAATTAGGGCCCTGCAGAGTTGCGGGTGACATGAAGCAATCACGCTGGTAGTCAGTCCGTCTGTCCATCCACACTTTCGTTTCTTGAGATTATCTTGGAATCTGTAATACTTATCTTTCTGAAATTTGACAAGGTGATACACTGTGAAATGTACGTGTGCAATAGGAGTTCAAAAATAAAGGTCAGGGTCAAGGTCACTGTTGCTAAAAAGTAATTTGGGATGGATGTATAGTCTTTTTCTCTAAATCCAAAAGTCTATTTTTATGCCACCGGGGGAAGGGGGCGTTGCCCATGTCCGTTCCATCCTGTCCCACCCCGATTCAATGTAAACACTTATCAACTTCATTCTTTTACAGATTCTGGTCAAAATTTATACAAAGGTCAAGTATGAGTATACTTCGGACATCGGCTTGTTTCTGGTATCAAAGGTCAAGGCCATGGTCACACTTGCTATATATAGAAAATCATCAACTGATTCAATTTAAACAGTTAGCAACTTCATTCTTCCATGGATGTTGGTCAAACTTTATACAAAGGTCAAGTATGAGTATACTTCGGACATCGTTTTGTTTCTGGTATCCAAGGTCAAGACCAGGGTCACACTTGCTATATATAGAAAATCCTCAACTGATTCAATTTAACTTAGCAACTTCACTCTTCCATGGATGTGGATCAAACTTTATGCAAAGGTCAAATATGAGTATACTTCGGACATTGTTGTGTTTCAGGGTTCCAAGGTCAAGGCAAAGGCTACTATTGCTATGCATAGAAAATCATCAAATGATTCAATTTAAACACTTAGCAACTTCATTCAGTATGTTATGGAGATGACAATAACATACAGAAAAAAACATGAATATTAAAATCAACTTATCAACTTTAAGTGAAGTACCTAGTGTGTGTGCATGTTTCAGGGTATCCAGGTCAAAGTGGTTATAGATTACTGAAACTAATTTCACATGGCAGCAGGAACATTTATGTATATTTGACATTGTGATACACTGTGATATGTAGATGTGCAATAAGGGTGAAAAGCGTTCTAAGGTGAAGGTCAACATCACTGTAACTAAAAGAAATGGGTTTGATATTTATTTTGAAATCCAATAGTCTAACCTTTTTGAGATTAGATATGGTGATACACTGTCATATGTTGATGTGCAGTAGTTGTTTAAAAACTCACTGAGATTAAAACTAGACTTTGTGGGTGCTGTCCTTTTCTCTAAATCCAAAGTTTCATCATTTTTAAATTTGACACTGTGATTTTTTTTTTTAAATTTGACACTGCGAAAAAATGTGTTATATAGATGTGTAATAGGGAATTTAAAAAAATCAAAGGTTAAGGTCACTGATTCTTAAAATCACCTGGGGATATTTTGAGACTTGGGTGCAGCGTAACGGTTCTTATCTCAGAATCCAAAAGACTGATACGTTTTTATATGAGGATGTGCAATAGGGGTTTTTAAGGTTACTGTTACTGAAAATAGACTGTGGGATAGGACCAAGCACACGGAGGGGCCCTTGCTGACATGTCAGTGTTCTAGTTGAATTCAAAACAAATTAGTTTGAAGCATCTTGGGTATTGGGGAACCAAATGTTATATGAAGTAAGATTACACCCTCCTCCATTGAGAGAGACACACACTGCTCAAAAATGTAAAACATGGATTAATTCATAGAACACCATTATTTAAGAACAGATGAGAATTTCTTCTAAATTTGCAAGGAGCATTCCACATACGATGACATTTTATGTGGAATAAATGAATGCTATCCACTCCTCCTCTTGGGACAGAGGGGTGGGACTGAATATTGATAAATCTTAAAAAGATTACTCTTAAATACAAGTGAATAGCTTTGTACATAATTTAGCATAGAGTATATGTGGTCAAAAAGAATTCATTTTTGTGTAAATGAAGGGTGTGGCCCCATTACAAAGACAACTCTTTAATTATGAGAGAAGGCATCTTGACCTTATTTGACATTGAAAATCCCTGTGCCAGCAGCCAAGATAATTCATCAAATGAGGGAGGAACAGGACCCTTGGCAATAAGATAATGAGGGAGAGACAGGACCCTTGGCTATACGATAATGAGGGAGGGACAGGACCCTTGGCAATAAGTTAATGAGGGAGGGACAGGACCCTTGGCAATAAGATAATGAGGGAGGGACAGGACCCTTGGCAATAAGATGATGAGGGAGAGACAGGACCCTTGGCAATAAGATAATGAGGGAGAGACAGGACCATTGGCAATAAGATAATGAGGGAAAGACAGGACCATTGGCAATAAGATAATGAGGGACAGACAGGACCCTTGGCAATAAGATAATGAGGGAGGGACAGGACCCTTGGCAATAAGATAATGAGGGAGGGACAGGACCCTTGGCAATAAGATAATGAGGGAGGGACAGGACACTTGGCAATAAGATAATGAGGGACAGACAGGACCCTTGGCAATAAGATAATGAGGGAGGGACAGCACCCTTGGCAATAAGATTAGCTTTGAAAGACTGAAATGCAATATCATACAAATACATGTGTATCTACTAAGTCCATCGAACATTCCAGGGTGTACATGGGATAAATGTTTATATAACTGTAGCATATGGATCTTAGGAAAAGAAGGCGACTCTATACAATAAACATGCAAACTTTTTACCAAGTCTCGTAATTAAAGCAATTTCGATAAAAATAAAACAACATGCGAAATAATAATTTATTGTCCAGTTACATGCACTCTATTTGACTCTCATTGACATATACATGTTACACCATCACTCTGTGACTCTTATTGACACATACATGTTACACCATCACTCTGTGACTCTCATTGACACATACATGTTATACAATCACCCTGTGACTCTCATTGACACAT